AATATAAATATCGTTAAATAACTTTAGAAAGACTTCCATTTGACCCTTTTAATTTAAAATAATCTAATAAAATAATCTTAAAACCTCTACCAGAAACCCGGGGGCTTGAGGGTCCTGCGCAGTATCTTAGCTGTTCCTAAGACTGCGCTCTTCTGGACAGAGATCTCCAATGTTGTTTCTGGGATCTGCTGAAGCCACTGGGAGCACTGTTACCTTCGCCCTCCACATTTTCTTGAGCTCTTCTCTGAGCCGTTGGTATTTCTCGAGCTTCTCGTGTTCCTTCTTATTGATGTTGCTGTCAATCGAAACCGCTACATCTATCACTACGACTGTCTTCTTCTGTTTGTCTACCACCGCTATGTTCAGTTGGTTAGCTATCACCATGTCAGGGTTCCCTGGCCACTGAGAGTACACCTTGGCTGGTTCTGTAGAGAACAGCTAGTTTATTCTCCTGCCTTCAATCTCTCTGGTGTACCTCTTCGAGTGGCTGGCCAAGGCTGTGAGTCTTTGCTTGGCAGTTTCCAAGGCCTCATGTACAGAACCAACTTACCTGGATGATCGAGCATGCATTTAGAAACTATTGATTAACGTTAATAAGCGAGTGCACACATTTCTGTTCTCTTATCACTTAGATTTCTGAATCTTAAGAGTGAATCAATTTACAGCAGGAACCGCACACCTAGTCATCAAATGTTTGGTAAAGCAGCATGAGTACTGTAAAATGTAGTAGTTTCCTGTTAAAAATCACACAAGCATCACACCACATCTGGCATATATACTTCTATTTTATACAGTACACCGTTGAAATTATAAACTATATATTCCAGTCATCCACTTATCAGCAATTCTTGAGTAAATGGATGTCACTGATAAATCAGTGCAAGTGTTTTTAACAAATCTGTTTCTTGTTTTTGTAGAACTCATCAGCAGCTGTATTTAAATGTCTTCTTTTCACTTTTCCCAACCTGGAAGGTAAGCTTCTGAGTCTTATCCCATGTAGGTGGCTCTTCTATGTTGTGCCAAAAAGAAAAACAATTTCTTTCCAAGATCCAAGCTTTTTCACTTGTGTTTTCTTTGTCTAATATTTTAATTTGTTTAATGATTTGAAACACTTTTTCACACCACTGTATGTACATGGAAGTTCAGTTCAAAAACTATGAACAGAATCCAATATCCACTTCATTTGAATTTGAATTTGCTGGTAATGTGAATCACTGCAAATGTACTAATGCCCAGTTTGTAACAACAGACACGATGCCTCATACTACAAAACAACCCCAAGAGATGCGGTTAAATGCCCTCTCCAAGTCCAAAACACCCGACATATATTGACCAGTTGGGCTTACTTGTCGACACTGTTCTTCATAGGATAAAGTGCTGGTGCCGTGTTCCACCACCAAGAGCCAAGATCATTTCCAGAATTTTTATTTATTTAATCGTAATTCTAGGAATCTTTTGGCACATGGTGTTTTGGAAATGTAACAGTTTCTGTTTGTAGACTTTAAAAAAACTACAGTTGATTCATTCTGATGATGTTATATTACTTTAAATACAAATTCAAACTAGGTCCTCATGGTACTAATGTCACTTGTAACTGTACTGTGTATA